GCCGTGGTTCTGGGCCGCGCCGCGTTGGGCCGGAGGTCCCAGTGACCCTCGCCTCAGCGTTGGCCTCCGCGCCCCCCCCTTAATCTGCCTCGGATCCCCGGGGCCTCTCCTTTTTCCCCCCGTTCTTCCGTCTCCTCGTCTGTCTCTTCGGGACCCGAGGACGTTTTTCTCGCCCTTCCGTTGGTCACGTTTTGAAAAAGTTGCTCGGTTGCCAGACCCCGGTAGCCAGGCCTGTGCCACCTGTGGCCCAGCACCCCTGCGCCCCTTCGAGGCCCAGGGCGCGGGGAGGAAAGGAGCTGTTTCGGTCCCGAACCGCGGAACCCCAGATGTGGGTACCTCTCAAAGATGAGGGCTTTACCTGGGCAGGGAGACATGACTCCGGCATTACCTCGGTTCTTGCCCTTTCGAAGCCTGTTTTAGCGCTGGTGTCCAGTCACCTAGCGTTTTTTGAGCAGCTCCTCTTGCCCAGACTGTCTTATGAACGGCAGGTGCGAGATAAGTGGGGTTCTGTCCCTGCTCTCGTGGGTAACAGCCATAAAAACCCGTGTCTGGATTGATCCGAGGGCCTGGAGTGGGATCCGGAAAGGCTTCCAGTAGGGAGTCATGCTTATAACTCAGTCTCGGGGTGTTTTTGTTAGATGTGCAGGATGGGGAAAAGGTTCCCTGCAGAAATAAGTGTGAAGGTGGCAGAGGTGAGTGAAGCACCATGGTCACATCGTAGAGAGTGCAGGTAAAGCAGAGAGGTTTGACGAGAGGTAGTCATATCAGATCAGGAAGGTTCTCAGAGAAATCCCCAAAGGGGAGCCGTCGGTGCTACTTACTGCTAGAACCAGGCGAATGGGTGGGAAGTATATTCTGGATAAGGGCAAAATTCTGCATACACCCAGGTAGATGAGAGTTGTATCTCTCAGCACCAAGTGGAGTTTTCAAAGGATCTACATTTTCATGGGATAAAGGCTGCAGACATTTTGATTATAATAAGGATATTTAGGGAATATGAGGTAAGAAATCAGGAACTTAAACTGAAGGTGGTTTTATTTTTAGAATTTCGTTAAGAAATGTGCTGATGTTCTACAGTTTAGAGTGGATCGTGAGATAGACAGAAATATAATGGGGTGTGGTAAACGTGCTCATAGTGAAGACTAAAAATAGACTTTATGGAAAGTAAGATTTTGAGAAGAATTGCCGTGCATCCCCAAATGTAACTTTTTAAAGCGGGTTTCTTTTCACCTGGTTTATTTTAAATTATCTTCAGGGGACAGATAATCCAGGGCTGGTAAGCCCTCAGGTCTCATAATAGTAAATCATGAGGGACATCCTGTTAGGCACCTAAATTACAGGTGACTCTGCGGACTTTGTTTAGAATACACTCCGGCCTGTGATATTTTGGTAATAGTAGAGTCTGTGAGAATGTGTGGAAACACTGAACTGTGTCACGGTGTCAGAGGTGGAGGTATGGGAACAAGTATTACAAATCTGACAGGCAGATGCCTTTTATTAGCTATATTTTTTGTGTCCATCAGTGCGCACTGCCCCTCGTAGCCTCTTCCTTCCTGTTCCCTTGTGTCCGTGTAGATTTCCTGCAGTCTGTTGGCTTCATTTTCACTTTATGGCAGTGGTCCCCAACCTTTGTGGCATCAGGGACTGGTGCTCCCATGAGAACCTAACGCCTGATGATCTGAGGCGGAGCTGAGGCGGTGATGCTGGCGCTGGGGAGCGGCTGCAGATACAGATGAAGCTGCGCCCGCTCACCTGCTGCTCACCTCCTGCTGTGTGGCCCAATTCCTAACAGGCCAGGACCAGTACCAGTCCATGGCCCGGGGCTTGGGGACCCCTGCTTTATGCTACACAAATACCTACGTAGTGATTAGAAGGTCTCATCTTACCAGGCTTGCTTCTTTAGGTACTCAGAGCTCAGGTGACTCATTATTAGTTGTATGGTTGCAATATTTTTTCTCCCATTATAGTGCACTGTTTAAAGCTTACTATACATACTTAGAACAGATCCCACTTACCATAAGTTATGTTTGTAAGAGGCAGATCTGCAGGTCTTACCGTTTCATAATACTGTGGTTTAAGTAGGTGCATTAACATTTTCCATCCATTCAGATACATTTAGAAAATACTTATATGGTGGTTAGTGTTCAAGCATGGCGCTAAGCTGGAGATAAAAAGACGAAGACAAAACAGCCTTTACCTTTAAGGGGCTTACGATATCGTAAGAGACAGGTGTGTCAGCCATTTGGGGCAGAACGTGTGAAAGTCGCTCCTCTCCAAGTGCGTTCAGAGGGAACAGATCGGAGACAGTGTTATGTGGGGGTAGCAGTCACCAAAGGCTTCAAAGATGCGCTTGAAAGGTGAGTAGGTGGGGCGTTTCAGAGACGACGCCTTCCACGTTCTTTGCCAGTTGCGCGTGTTTAAAAAAAGTCGTTTGCCAGCTTAGAGTCTTGAAAAGTTGTTTTTTTTGGCAGAACTGTGTTTTCTGTGTTTCTTAAACGGAGCATATGTGAAAGATGCATGACTGATCGAAAGGCTGGTGTCACAATAAACAAGTAAATATTTAGGTATTTTAAGTTATAAAAATCAGCTATTTGTATTTGCATTTGATCCTGGCATCGTAAGGTACATCCAAATATTAGACAGTGCTATTTTTTATTACCTGGCACGAGACTTCATGAAATAAATGTGTTCTGTCATCTCAGTAACATCTCACATGAATTAAGTTCAGGTCTGGGTTTTCTTGGCAAGGCACTTGTGATGTCACTGGTAGTAATGGGAGAATGAGTGAATCGGTTATGGTATATTTATGAGTGCTTAAAACAGCCAAAATAAAAACATCCACGTCTTTTAAGGAATAGATCCACTAAAGCTGCGTAAATACAATTATATAAAATGAGGAAAGCAAGGAATTAACGAGAATGGGATTCAGGCCGCTGCTCACCCCTGGGCCAGAGAAATCACTTGAGTGGGATTGGGGTGGGTCGCATGGGTTGAGTGTGGTGGCTTCTTGTCCAGATCCGGTCTCTCATTTTGGGTGGTGAAGTCACTGTGCATGTACCATTATAGTAATTAAAAGCAGGCCATTCGTGCGTGTCTGGATGACGAGTGTGTCGTTGCTGTGATTAAATGCAGTGCTGTGAATTCAAAGTTCCGTGAAAACTTTGAATTTTCCGAGGAGGGTGAAGAAAGCTCTTCTGCCTTTGCTGCGATGCAGAGATCTGATTTGCAAACACTTGTTGCAGAAAATTAGCAGATGATGGTAATAGGACATCCGTTTCTAATATAGGTTTTGAGAACAGAAGCAGGGAACTTTTAACATAAGATTTGGCTGCATAATGATTTCTGAAGCCTGCAGATCAAGGCAAATCAAATGGAATTGTCAACAAACCCTCTTCAATTTAGAAATGGAATCGGGAAATATGGTCTCATGAAAACTCGTTAATTCAGCAATGAAATCTTTGTTAAATATTGGATTCTTAGATGAAAGAACTCTGTGGGAGGCAGAGATGCTCTACACTGCTTGATTTTTTTTAACCCCAAAATTTGGAAAGGTATTTCTAGGAGAGAGTACTTTCCTGGGTAGGGAGAGGTACAAGAGTTAGACAGCACCTGTCACCCCACCCCCTCTCCCCTCCCTTTTACCTGTTCGTGTGTGTGCGTGTGTGTATATGTGTGGTCCCATGGATATAACATAAAAATTGCCGTTTTCACCTCGTTTAAGCGTGCGGTACCGTGGCCTTAAGTACATTCATGCGGTGTGACCGTAACCGGCATCCGTCTCCAGCACCTTTTGCCTACTCTGACTTTCCAGTGAACCTGTGGGCACTGTGCAGGTTCACTGGTGAGTCATGTGGCTGAACAGACTGTATTTGATTATTAATATTTCAGCAAATGTTTATGAAATGCCTACTCTGTGCCAGAAATCAGAGATGCAGAAACATAAGCTAGTCTCCCTTCATAGCGTAGCGGACATGTGCTCAACTCATTCCCTTTGGCACTGACATCTGTAAACACCTTTGATGAAGTTCTCAAATTCCTTATGAAGCCATATTGGGAGAGGTAACGTGGAGTTTGGTTTGCAAACAAATTTTAATAATTTATGTTTGTAATTTCTCAAAGCTTCACGTACATTCATTTCGCAGAATGTTAGTCTTCCCTTTTGTAAGAATAAAGAAAGATAAAACAAATGAACCCATAGTTTTTACTAGGTTTTGATTCGGTGACTAATTGGATGAAGAAGACTCAAAAAATTAAACTAGGTTAGCTAAAAGACGCATGGTCGTTTCTGAAGTAGTGTTTTTGAGAACCACAGTATTAAGCTGGGTATTCACCATTATTTTTGTTGCTGTTGCTCTGTTTGAGGTTTTCAGACTAATATTAAAGTTTAAGGATATCTTATTTAAATTGAAATTCAGGTAAGAACCATTCGTTTTGATTATGAGGTAGGCTGGGAGAAGGGTGCCTGGAAGCTTCTGAAGCTCTTTGGTGCAGAGCTCTTCCTTCTAGCCAAAAGTCCTTGTTGGCCAGAAAATTCTGAAAAGCTGGATTGGGAGGGGTTTGCAAATAGCGTATTAACTGTGCAGTTGGCCTGACTTCCTCTTCAGCTCTGGGACAGACAGTGATCTCGGTCTGGACAGGCAGTGAACTCCACAACCTGGATCTAGGTGTTGATGGCGTTTACGGCATTGTGGATTAAAGCAGGTACTGAAAGTAGGCCCCAAGGGGGTTCCCGTGAAACTCAGAAGATGTTGTATTTCAGCCATGCTTAGTTAAGAAATGGAGTTCCTTTTTCCTCATTTACCTTCAGTGACCCCAGCTTAATGGGACAAGGCGTTGCCAAGTTCCTGAATAAAATGTTCTCTTTGTCTGGCACTCAAGGCAGTGGACATTTATTTCCCTGTTGGATATGCTGTCTGGCAAATTCTGTCCGTGCTATCAGCTGAGCTGGTGAGTTGCAAAGAAGCCGTAATGAGAAGGAGCACATGTAGGCATTCCTCGATTTCAGGCGATTCATTGGAGCAGTCAGCTTTCATTCACGCTGCTGCCGTGCTGCCTTGGGGGCCTTTCCTTTAGAATTCGGAGCTGCGAGCTGTCGTCACTTTCAGGTAATCCGAGGGTCCAGATGTTAAGAGGCAGGAACAGCTTAGTGGAGTACTGACTTCCAGGCAGAGAGCACCGCTGCCCGAAACCAGAACAGCTGTTCTCGGGGGTTAAAGCTGGTGTCCACCCCATCACCCCCACCCCACACAAAGTGGAACCCAGGTCAGCCCAGGTGTTGGAGCGGCAGGGACTTAGAACCCCAGTCGTAGAAGGCTGGAGAAGTAAGCGTACAGCAGAGAGAGAATTTCGTCCTGCGTCAGACGTAACCCTGGGGGGAAATTAAATATTTTCCTTGTCTGTATCGCCTGCTCGTCCTCAGACACAGGTGGAACAGGATTTGTCCAACACGGTTTCCGTGGCAAAACACTGTCCGGGCCTGGGAACTGACAGGCTTTTGGAATGTGTCCATAAATCAGAACCTCCCTGTGTAAGCGTTTACTTGCAATTTAGGAATTTCAATCAAAAAATTTTTTTCTTTCCATCTGTGAGAAAGAGATTGATTTCTTCTTTTGAGAAGTGGGCTATATCGTGGGTTCCAGAATGCTGAGGTTTTTTAAAGGTGGCATTCGGGGTTCCTGGCAGGGGCGGTGGGGGTCACCTGCCTGGCTTTGAAATGAGCCTCCCACTGTGACCTCCCTCCGCTAGCCATCTGTAGCCTGTGCCGGCCTCTGGGGCCAGATGAATGTGAACGGTCGCCGTTGTCATCTTATATTCTGCAGGGATGTTTCGTCGCTGGCTATCTCTTGGTAGTCAGTGTCATTGAAGGTTACCGGTTTCTCTTTGGTAGGATGCGAGGAGATCAGGTTGTTCAAGAACTAACCGTCTACTCTCCCCGCAGTAAGCCATCGAAGTGCGGCATCTGTGAGGTCATTTCCAGTTTTAATTTCTAGGCATGTTTAAATTTTCTTTATAAAAGGGTAGCTAATTTTGCTAAATGAACCTGTAGTTGGTGTTTTTCGTGAGGCTTCTACTGTTCACTATTGAGACAAAATGGGACTTTAATTGGATGTATGAAGTAATAATGTCTGAACCTGGAACTGCCACTTTTGGCTCAGCGTATGCTGCAGAGCCTGCCAGCTTCACATGACCTTATAGATAGGAAAGTTAATTCTAGGGGTTTAATTTTAAAACAACACATAGGTATGGCTTCATGTGTCAGCGGGGGCACTGGTTGGAGACAGCAAGCGTTTTGGCTTCTGTCGCCAAAGCTTCCTGGCCTAGGCACCCCCCCAAATGCATTGTATCTCTAAAATTCCATGATACTGAGTTATTTCCACAGCGGAAGATTTGAAATCCTAACTGTTTCGTGTTCTCTAAGCCTCACCCCCTTGCCTTTATTTCAGCGGTAAACTGGAAAGATGTCCCTGTATGATGACCTGGGAGTGGAGACCAGCGACTCGAAGACGGAAGGCTGGTCCAAGAACTTCAAGCTGCTGCAGTCTCAGCTTCAGGTGAAGAAGGCGGCCCTCACCCAGGCGAAGGTGAGATCAGCCACAGGGTGAAGCGGAAGGCCCCGGGGCAGCTTGCTCTCCTGCCTTGTCATGGACTCTGCAGGGACAGACATTTATGCGGGGAAGAGGCTCTGGGTGGAGAGGAGTAAGGGGTGTAAGGTCACTTTGCTTCTCCGGACTCCTGGGGGTGGATGGAACTGTTTCAGACATTCCGGTGACGAAAAGCGGTGCTCAGTTTCCAGCAGTGACATAGGTTTGCAAACTCTGTGTCCGACCTTGCGGACTTGGTTGAAATGCTGCTTCAGTAGCCTGCTCCTGATAGGCTGGTGAATCCTGGTTCTGGGTCGGGGACCCGGGAGCCTATACTTTGGGTGGCACTCCTGCTGTTGATTGTGGGTGGCTTGGGAACAGCTCTGGGAGGAGGGAGGCTCCGCGGTAATCACTAAGCTGTGGTGACGTGCGTGCACCACCGAGGACTCCGGCTGGTGCCGAGTGTGTCTGGCGGACACAGGCTAGGGCTCGTTTTTGTTTCCGTTATGTACATGTTGGGCTTTGGCGACACCCTTGAGATTGTTCAACATGCAAAACATTAAACACGTAGCTGTCCACTGGATATTTGATATTAAAACGTTATTGTCGAGTACTTTTAGGAATGAGAGTGGCAGTACGGGTTGTTTACTGTTTTAAGGGCCCTTGGGTTTTAGAGTGTGCATCCCCAATAGAGGCTGTGCCCCCAGATGGGGCGAGTATTGGTCCTAAGGAGGTGAAAAAAACCTTGCTCTTTTTAGGTATAAAGCAGAGATATACATAAAGAACGTGAGGGGTATATGATGTATCTGGGACTGAAATTTTACGGATGGGGAAAATGTATGAAAAGGTTACTTGGGGAACGCTATAGGGGAAGAAAAAAGAAGTTGGGAAAAATTGCTTTAGAGATACATACTGAAATATTTACTGATAAAATGATGTGATTTCTGGGGTTTACTTTAAAACGATCCCGTCGGGGAGAGGAGAGAGAGGGATGTATATGAAACAGAACTGGCCATGAGCTGATAGATGGCTGTCTGAAACTGAGCGATGGAGACTTAAGAGTTCTTTAATCTCTTCTCTATTTTTGTGTTTGAAATTTCCCATAATAAATGGTTTTTAAAGTTGGCGTTATTTTTCTTCCCCGTTCCTGTGGCATCAGTAGACACTTACACTGAAGCGCTGACATGTTGACTGCTCAGGACTGGAAAAGGTCTTAGGGCCAGGGACCCACAGGCAGAGCAGCACTGTCTTAATGGTTGTCTCTTTTGTCAGTTCTGCTGGTTAGAGTTTTTGTCTTTTTCAAGTTCATCATTACCAGGTTGAGATTTTTTTTATGTATTTCTTTTTAAAGAGACAGAATTTTGTCTTTTTAAAACAAGCTTTCATCCCACGTGAAAGGATTATTAGCAAAACGTCTTGTTTTTCCTTTTAATTTTTTAAATTGGTTTAATTTTTTAAATCTTTGTCAGTTTCATGTACCTTTTGATTTGCACATAAGTGTATAAGGTTTTGTATTCCGAACAATACAGTTTCATTTATTTCATTCTTGAAGGCCTACTCTTCTCTTTTGTGAAATGACTGGCTCCAAGGAGCAAGGTTCACGCATAAACTCAGGAGTTGAGTGGACGTGATTAGTGCGCAATCTTAGTTCAGTGGAAGATAGCATAACAAAATAGAAAAGTAGAAGTCAAAATATTCTAGAGATAAACACATCGAAATTGCTTGGGATCATTCTTTATTCCCAGTTTAAAAATTGTCAGCTTCATGGATCAGTGCAGTCAGTTTTTTAAAATTCTCAATAATCTGTTTATTCCTGCCCAGTGTACTTCAGGATCACTTTCTCTGTCCAGCTAGTGCATAATTATGAACTATAGGTGGAAAACCAGCTTCTATAAAATACAATTGAGAAAAATCCTTCCAGAAAATAAATATATTAAAAAGTCAAATAAAATTTAAGAGATCACATGCTGATTTTCCGTACCATCATTTTACTCACATGAATAGTAACGAGTTGGATGCTGGTGAGCAAGGAATTATGTTTTATGTGAAATCAGGGCTCTTGGACACCCTCTCCGGTACTGCTTCAGTCTGTTCAAGTTCTGTTTATCATCTTTTCACTTGTCTAAATACATTAATTTCAGCTACTAGGAAATCTCTTGAGATTTCAAATCGATTTTTTTTTAAATTGGTCAAAATAAAAAGTTGCCTGTGACATCATTTCTACCAACTTTCTCATCTTTTGAGATTGCTGTGTAAAGCTGATGTATTTTTCATGAAGGGAAGTGAAGATACATTTCGTCGACTCTCACAGACTGGTTGATGTACTCATTGCTCAGTACCGGGCTGGCCTAACCAAAACTGAAAAGCTGTGTGGTAGAGGAAACGTTACCTGCAGTTGAAAGATGGAGCTGCAGTTTCATCTGTGTGTCCATTTAAAACACATACGTAGAATAGAAACAAAATAATAGAAAAATACGATTTTGACAATTCACCCTGTTCGTCATCCTTTAAACCTTGGTATTCACCTTGTGACTTGTATATTTAATGATTGGATTAAATTTATTTGCTTAAAATTATAAGTACTGTTAAATTCAAGACAAATGGTGGTTTATTTTGAGCCTTTTGTAGTGATAACAAAGAAAATGTTAACACCTTAAATTGCAAGGGGGGAATTAAACTGTACAGAAGGTCAGGTGGTCACCCTGTACCTATCTGTCACGCTTAGAATTACAGCCACGCAGCCTGACCCATGTGCCTGCTGGGGTGAGGCCGGACGAACCACAACGCCTTACCTGTGATGGATTCTTGCTCCCCCACCAAAATAAAAGCACTAACCTAATCAAGATTTAGCTCGAGTCTTTAGGAATTGCAGGGCGTAGAGGAATAAGTGAAGCTAAACTACCAGGAAGTTACCAGACAGATCTAGAATGCGCAGCATTTTACAAGACACGTCAGAGGAAGAAAGAGAAGGAGAGGAAGACGAAGATGCAGGTGGCAGTGGTGGCGGTGATCAAGAGACTCGAAAACCAGGTGCTTCGTGGGCTTTGGCAGGGTCCCGGCTCAGTGGAAAAGCAGCTGTCTGAAGGACACTCTGGGGACACCTTGGAGAATCCGCATGTGAATCGGATGGTTCCTGACACCGGGAGTGATTGGTGTTATTGGGTGTGGGAATAGTAGTGTGGTTGTGTAAGAGAATGTCCGTGATTTCAGGAGATTCAGAGTGAAGCCCTGCTGTCCTCAGCTCTCTTTCAAACGGCCCAGCACCAAATGCAGGCGTGGGCTCCAGCCCTGTGGGAAAATGCTGACAGCGGTCAGTGGTCTGCGAATGGTCATGGTTATCTTTTTAAAAAATTTGTTCTGTAGGTTCAAAATAAAAGAGGTCGGGCAGGATTTTATATTCCGCTGGGAAGGAAAAATACCCTAATCCGCAAGTGTCTTCCCCAGGACATAAAACACACCCATTCCTTGTGGAAGACCCACATCAGTCGAAGTGTCGTGTGCTGTTACAGATTTGCCCTCCTGGTCAAAGGGAGAATCTGGTGGGGAGCTAATTTCACGTGGAAATTTAAATAAGAGTGACCAAGTTTACTATAAAACTTTCCCAAAATAGAGGAGATTCATGTTGTAGAAAAAAGGCGAATGCAACTAGTATGTGGTCAGAGGAATGGAATGAATTAAAAGACTGTTTGAAGGTCATGATTTTCTCATCTCTGAAAGGTTGGTTTTGTTACAGAGACCAAAAAAAAAAAGCTTTGTTACAAATAGTATGAATTTTAATTTGAAGCTTCAGTTCACTTCTCCTGTTTTTCAATGGTTTTAGAGCCAGAGGACAAAACAAAGCACAGTCCTCGCCCCGGTAATCGACCTAAAGCGAGGCGGCTCTTCAGACGACCGGCAGGTCGTGGACACCCCGCCGCACGTAGCCGCCGGCCTCAAGGTGAGCCCACCTGCATCCAGCCCTGACTGGCCTTCCCGCTTTGTGTGCGTCTCATTTTATGCCTGTGTCACTCTGAACTCGCAGTCTCCGCGGTAGGCCGCTTCCGGCTAGTCAGTGTCATTTTCAACTTAATTTTTATTTGTTTTATCAAGTTTAAAACATCTAGCTACTTAAAATAGTTCGTTATAGAAAAATCAGAAAGTGGAGATATGCCAAAAGAAAAGCAATTTTTGCCATCGTAAAGAATTTTAGTGTTTGTTGTTTTATTGTGAATTAAAATAGAGAAATGGGTTAAAAATAAAGACAGTTCTACCACCCCGCCTTTTATTATCACAGTGATTTCACGTAAGCTTAAAAACCAAACAAGCATGGAGTAGGTCAGTGAGGATGAGGAAGAGCTGGAAAGGGTATAATTCAAAATCACAGTAAAAGCTACACCAAGTGGGGGACAGATGAATAAAACAAACTGTAGGTATGCTCACACCCACTCTTTAGGTCTGCGTTTGTTCTTCCATAGAAGGCATTCAGGTGTTCCGACCCTTTAACCACCCACCACACACACACACACACCGCTCGGTGAGAAATGACCCAGAGTCAGCGATGGAATGCGCTGTTACTGCGCACTTCGCAGCAGGGCCCTCCCAGCCCGCGTCCCCAGACCGAGGGAGCCCAGGCACAGACCGCGCCTCCTTCCTTCCCTCCCTCCCTCGGTTTCTCTGTCCTCACAGCCTTGACTGTCCCGGGTGGCACTCCATGTGCTCCCCACCTCGCTGCCGCTCTGAGGCAGGACACTGCCGAAGCTCTTGCTGGGGTTTCTTGGCCGGAGGATCTGGCACTGCTCCTGCTCGTGGTCTTGAGAGGCTCCCACATGCAGGTGTCTTTTGGAGATTCTGAGTCATTTAACATTTTTTCCCTTAAATTCTCTACCTAACTTTTTCTCACTATATCTACTCAAAACTGGTCCATCATTTTCTGTCATTGTATATAGACTCTGGAACCTATGATGTAGCTGGGCTAAAATTTTATCAGTAAGCATTTTCCTTCTTGTAAATAGTTTTCATGACCAATTTTTAATTGTATAGTTCCCATCAGGTGAATGCCCTGTAATTTGCACAAGTCTTCCCTAACTGTAGAACTGTCTAGATCTGCTTTAATGTTGCCATTATAACCCTCTGCATCTCTACAGAGAGCGCTCTGTGCATGTAAAACTATTTTCTTCGGCTAGTTTTCCTGAGGTGGCAGTAAGGGGTCAGGCATTTTTATTGCCAGTTGATTTCAGTGCCAACTTGTTTCTAGTGTGGTTGTGTCGGTATGTAATGTCACCTGCAATATATGAGTATTTTAGGTTCACCCACCTTCCCCACCATTAGAGTATTAACATTTTAGTTTTTAAAAATCGAACAAACTGCTTTGTTCTTTAGAGCGTTTAGAGAATGATGGTTCATTGTTAAACTTAGCAGCGTTTATACAGTAAACATTGTTTGCTTTCAAATTTTGAAATGACAAGAATTAACTTTCATAGTGACATCATTCTCTCAGTTAGGAACTTTGTGGTAATAGTGTTATATAAATCGGATGGCTGATGATTAGTTTCTCTCCTGTCTTAATAATAACAAAGGAAATCTTGTTCACTCGCCTTTGTGTTTTTAAAATGTCTTTTATATGAATACAAATTCATAACTATCCTTTGGGAGCCCTATGTTAAATAGATTTGTGTAGATTTTCCAGTGATAGGGCCTGGGAGATAATTAGTTATTTTTCTAATTTATTCATCAAATCCTAGTGTTTCCTGACATTCAGTTTCAGGGAAACGATGAAGTGTGTGTTTCGCGTGCAGTGTTGAACGGCACAGCTGGGTCTAGATCCACTGGTGCTGAACACGGCTCCTCCGCGCATCAGCTTCGTGCTCAGTCACAAGCCACGTGTGACAGCCTCCTGCCTGTGACAGTCCCAGGCAGCGTACTTCCTGAAGGGGGCGTGAGTGGGCGCCCACGGGCAGCAGCCCCAGCCTGGGCTTGTTGGAGGCGGCTGTGGAGAACAGCTCAGGCCTCTTATTGTCACAGGTACTGAGGAAGAGTAATGCTAGGAAAACATGGAGGAAGGAAACATGGACATTTAGGAAGGCCAGACCAGGAGACCAGGGCTTCCTAGACTGGGTAGTGACCACAGCTGCCAACCTAGGTTTCAGGCCTTTTTCTAATCACTTCCATTGAATGACCACAAGAATTGCTGATTTGTGGGTCGTTTGGTTTTTAAGTTTTCACAGACATACGTAAAAACAGAAGTATTCACTTTTTACAGTAAATATCAAATTTATTGCTTAAAATTTTAGATGGTAGCAGCTTGTTGAGCAATGTCAGGAAAATGCCATAGGGCATCTGTAAAGTTAATACTGAATTCTTTGTCAGAGTTCTGCTGCCACCTAGCGAGGGGTGTGGCCATGTCACCCACCAAACCTCTGGGTGTTAGTTCCGTCATCTGTAAAACAGGAGGCAGGTAGATGGTCACCAAGGCTCCTCCCAGTCCTCATAGGCTTTGACCCCAGTTCTAGGAATAAGATTTTAAGACATGAGAATGACACTTACTTTGGTGTTTACCTTCCTCAGGATCCTGTACCCAGTGGATTTTCCGCGGGAGAAGTTCTGATTCCCTTAGCCGACGAATACGACCCTATGTTCCCTAACGATTATGAGAAAGTCGTGAAACGCCAGAGAGAGGAGCGACAGAGACAGCGAGAGCTGGAAAGACAGAAAGAAATAGAAGAGAGAGAAAAGTAAGGCTCCGTTTGGACTCGGGGCCGGCGCGTGTTTGAATCCCTCATTAGAACGTCAGCGCGTGGACGCCAGTGCTGTCCTTACGGCCGAGGTTGCTGTTCATGGGGGATCCGAGCGATAGCCAGAAGAAATCAGGTTGCTGTAAAGAATTTGTAGTAGTTCCATCCCAGCGTGAAAGCAAACCCTAGAGCAAATTCCATACGTAGACGAAGAAAACGTAAAGTATACATTTGGGGTGAGTTGTGAGGAAAGTAACTTAGAATCCTCATGTTGAGTAATAGTTTTTTCCCATGCTATGAGGGAACTGTTTTCTTGCTGTTTATACTCATAGACCTGTTAAATCTGTTCGATTCATCATCTGGAATTTTCTTATACTTTTGCTACTTTAGTCTTCAACCAGTTGTTCGCACAGACGCCCCTCCCCCCGTTCATAGTTTGCTGTGAAAGGGAGGATTTGGATGTTCGCAGCCGAGAGAAAGTCAGGATGACATCCCTGGGCTCACGTCTCTAAGTCGGTTCGTCTGTGACGACTGTTGTTTTTTATTATCACAGGAGGCGTAAAGACCGACACGAGGCCAGTGGGTTTTCAAGGCGACCAGACCCAGATTCTGATGAAGATGAAGATTACGAGCGAGAGAGGAGGAAAAGAAGTAAGGCATGAGTGTAAACGTTATGTTGCAAACACGGTGCGCTTCCGCCATTCACTTTCCGTAGTTAACTGGGTAAATAGCTCGGTTGGCCTTGACTGTGGTCATTTTCTCTCCGGAACCCAGCGGCCAGCGTTTGCACACAGCCCCGATTGGCGTCGTGTTTTCACACGTATCCTCTGAGCGTCCCACCCACTGGCTAACATTTATTAATTGGATACTTTCCTTGATTTACTGCCCTGTTGCACTGACCTAGGCACTGTGTCCAGCTGCGTTTCTGTTAAGCTCGTTTCCAGAACATTGTCCCTGACATGCGTGCATTTGAGGAAGCCACTGAGCTTCCCTGGACGCTGGTTTCTCTGTGTCGTCAGAGAGCAGGAAGACGAGACTTTGAACTAGTTGCTTTGTAAGGCCCCTTCCAGCGCTAGAACTTTGCAAGCAGAATTGTAATTATGCTGGAGCCGGACCCTTGGTGACCACTAGGTAGTCAAGTAGCGTTCATTCTCGAGAGACTGGAATGCTGCTTTTTTAAAATAGCTTCGTCATGTTTCCATTGCTGGGATTTGCTTGATTTAGTTGGCCAGTTTGGTTGCAGATTGAGATTTAAGTGAGAATTTAAATCTCGTACTTGTCTGCTGGGTACCAGGCACTGCTCCAAGTGTTTCCTTAGATTCTCTCCTGATGCCGCACTGTGGCCTGGAGGGGGCTCTGATTATCCCCATTTTAAGGGTGAAAAGTCCGAGTCGCAGGGAAGTGCTTTAGAATACGGGTCCACCGTTCACCTTATCCACGATCTCTGTCTGCCTGAAAACCTCATCATAATGTGGCCATCTTTAAATCTAAGACCTAAGAATAATGTTACGAAGCTGGAGTGTATTTTCACACATATGAACTCTGTTTCGTGACCAGCAGTTTGGTGAGCCTGGTCTGCCCAGGTGTGTAGCCGAGGCTGATTCAGGGTTTAATCTAAATTTCAAAAGACTAATTGAGTTGGAAAGAAGCAGTCTGTAATAATCTAGAATTCTTAAATCTTTCAATGTAGATATAAATTAAATGTATTTATAGACCCCTACTCACCAACAAAAAACCCAGGCTCATGGAAACAGAACAGATCGGTGGTCGCCAGAGGCAGGGGGTCTGGGGTGGGAGAAGTGGGCGAACGCAGTACAGACTTGGAATTATAAAATAAAGATGTGGTGGGGTGTCATGCCGCATGGCGACTACTGTTAATACCATATCGCGTATTTAAAAGTTCCTAAGAATAGATCCCAAATGTTCTCATCACAAGAAGAAAACGTAATGACGTATGGTGACAGATGCTAACTAGACTTACTGTGATCATTTCACAATACATGCAGATATGGAGTCATCGTGTTATGCACTTGAAACGACCGTGTCAGGACCGCGCTTTGCTCGTGGGCGGCCGTGTGCGTTCAGCACTGCGCAGCCGTCCCCCAGGAGCCGACGCGTTGGTTTCCGTCGCTTGCTTTGGAGCCCAGCATGGAGGGCGAGTGCTTGCTGGCCCCATCTTCCCAGCTCGCTGCCGACCGCCCTGTCTGTAAGGAGCTGGCCTCCTGCAGGAAGGCCGCTCGCCACCTTGGGCAGTAGCGGGCGGTAGCCTGATGCCAGGGGGGTGGTGGCGGTCTAGCCATCTGTGTGCTGCTGGTAACAGCTGACGTCCACGTCGTAACTGACTAGCGGCATGTTTTCAAGTCCTCATCTTGAGTTTTTTATACTGGACTCGTTAGAGCTAATCTTTTCAGAATCGATCAATAATCACTCAGGTCTTAGTGACAAGATTAAAACAAGATAATAGGAGGTACTTCAGAAGAAAGATAAGAGAGTTTAGTTCATATTTCTGCATAAGCATTTTGTCCAGTCCAGGCCTGGTAGCCGTGATGCCTGCGTGCCGGCTTAGAGGGATTTCTCTGGGAAGCGTTCTATGCTGGTGCAGCAGTGCTTTGGAATTAGTTTGTTTTTTACGGTTTATTATTTTTATGCTATTTCTTTGGTGATTAAGCAATAATAATACACATTAGGGCTTGAGCCTAATGAAAAGTTCCTCCTGCTCTTCATTCACATTCTCCCCCTGCTGTGGGGGAGCAAATGGAGTCGTTTTGGTTGGTTCACGTCCACTAGTCTCTGTCCAGGGACGTGAGTGGAAATGGCGACAACACAAAACCAATGCTTCAGCAACCAGAATACCTGTAGCTGCAAGTAGGTGTCTAGTTCCAGTGGTTTGCGCCCCGAGAAGGGGTGTGCCATATGGCGGGGGGAGCCAGGCGCCACAGGGAGCTGCGTTTTATACCGTCTCTGCCCGTTAACTCTCCTCTGAAAAATGGAACCGGTGACACCTGCTTCAGAGGCGTAAGCCGGAATGACAGCACCACACGAGGGGGCCGGAGGTGACACGCTCTCAGCAAGCAGCTGTGTCACTGTGTTCTAGGTAACTGCCAGTTCTCTGGGTCATGTTCTTTTGCCTCATGATTCATTTATTAACTACATTTTAGGGCTCTTGACGGCCTGCTATGAAAAAAAACAATTTCGTCTGTCGGTTTTGTCAGTTCTCTGTATTTTTAGTCCTGGATTCAGATGCTGAATTCTTCAGACGTTCGAGGAGGGGAGGGCATGATATGGCTATGGCATCCGTCACGTCCTGAGCGTCAGGCGTCTGAATGTCCCTCATCGGTGGCGTTTCTGTTTTCGCAGGTATGGGCGGAGCCGCCATCGCCCCACCCACCTCTCTCGTGGAGAAAGACAAAGAGTGTACGTATCCGTTGCCTCCCCTGCCGCTCTGCTGCAGGTCTTTAACCCGGTCCTGGGCCCGCAGGCCCGCCTGGCCTCTGGCTCTCACCCTAGGGCCCAGGGCAGGCCCTCCAGCCGCCCCCTCCCACTCCGGGAAGGTTTTGTGCAGGGCTCTGAGGCCTGGATTTTTATACGGTGAGGTCTCTGTTTTGTTTTGTTTAAATTTTGTCTTCTCCAACATTTCATATTTGGAGTTAGGTTAAAACAAATAGCGCCTCTGTTTACAATTTTGTGCCGAGTGGTCTGGAGGCTGTTAAGTTCACGGCCGTCCACAAGGTGGCAGTGTCCGCCTCCGTTAGGTTTTTCTGCCTTTGGTTTCCATTTCAGTGCACAGATTGTGGACATCACAGACGTTGCCAAAACATGCCACCCCGTTTCCTCCGGTCATCTGCTCTAGGATTCGGGGGCTGGCATTGAACTCTGATGTGTCATCTAGGTCATTTTCCTGTCTTCTGGGTTGGACTGCACCTAAACTGTGCCAAGAAAACACATTCACTTCCGGTGCTTTTTATACCTGTTGCACTCTTTACGTTAGCCTCTTAAAGAAGATGATTCAGAAAGCATCGTTAAATGCCTTTTGTGCGAAAACACCTGACCAACCAAATACCCAGTTGAAACCAGTCTCTGGGAGTGGGGCCCAAGCATCCGGGTCTTTATAAAGCTTCCTGTTGGTTCTGCTGTGTAGCCTGGGCTGACAGTCACCGCCCTCGTGTGTGGTCCATAACCTCAGAGAACTTAGTCTGTGCTGGGCTGACGACGTCCTGAGATGAGCTTAGGGCAGGTACACAAGACGCTGTGGGAGCGAAAAGACTGATCGGGTCTCTCTGGAACTTAAAAAATCTAACAAATCAGACAAAAATTGTCATTGAAGAGCACTTTTAATGGGTAACATTTCAGTAAGATTTGTAAAAAGGACATTTGAGGAGATAGAAACAGCTGGAACAAAGCTAGAACCAGAAGAATAGTGTTCTGCCTCTGTGATTTAAAAGTTATGTGGAGGCTAAAATTGATTGATGTGTTTTCTCATTCCTTGGAGCAAGCCAAAAACGTCAGTTGAATTAGTTGAAGATAATTGATTCATCCAGGCGCAGTTCAGAATCTCTGGGTGTTTTGGTAAACCCGTTTTGTTTTTTTCACCAGTACCCCGAGAATTTCCTTACGAAGAGGACTCCCGACCGCGCTCACAGTCTTCCAAAGCCGCCGTTCCTCCGCCGGTGTACGAGGAGCAGGACAGGCCCCGGTCCCCAACGGGGCCTGGCAACTCCTTCCTCGCCAACATGGGGTAACGGTCCTGGTGCTGTCGTCTCGGCACGCGTAAGGGTGAGGCGTGGTGTGACTGAGCGGTTGGCCGCCCTTCGGGCCGACGCAGCTTGCCCAGAAACGCGGGCGCTATTGGGAGACACTCGGTGTGTCCAGTCACACGCGTCCATGCATGTCAGTGAGTCACACGTGGTCCCCCGGCACGGGGCTGCGTGTTCTGTACAAGACGGGAGTTTGGAACGGTGCGGGTGCAGAGTGTACTCTGGAGGATGGTTCCTGATAGATACGTTTGTTTTCATGACGTTTGCAGATAAAACAGCTCGTGTGAATTGGCGCTAACACTGCCCAAAGGGTGAATGACACTTTTTTTTCCCTTGCTAAAACGAGCCATTTGCTTTAAGGTTATGGTTGTGGACCTTTGGTCTAAAAACTCAGTCCTTCAAGCTATAATTAGAAATTTGTTTGCCTACATGTAAAAATCCATTTTCAGGGGCTCATGGTGGGTTGTTTTTAACCCCACTAGATTCGGCATGCCTGTCGTTGCAAAGACTGTTTTATATTTACTGTTCCTTTCGTGCTGTGAGAGGCTGTCAGATGAAGCAGCATCATACTCTGGCCTTCTGTGTGCTTCAAAAGGACGCTCAGCCTGTGATAGGGACGCCTAGACTGTGGGCAGCACACTGAGCTGGCTTCTCCCCTGTGCATTAGCTCCCGACATCCTTAGAGTCGTCGGAAGTTGACAGAGTAGGTGGCAGGGGCTCGTGCGCTGCAAGGGGACTATGGGTGTCTGACCTCCGTGGGCCCATCCCCTAGCCTCGTGTTCTTCTCTGCGGAGCTGCCAGCCACGGCGGCTTGGGAGTGAATTTAAGATGTAGGTCCTGGGTCACACCAGCCTCATTTCAAGTGTACATGAGGCTGGCAGCCACCGCACTGGGCAATGTGGAGAGAGAACAGTCGGTCCATTGAGGGAAGGTTTGTGGGGCTGCCCCAGGGTGTCCGCTGGAGGGTGGGCAGACATCAAGCCATTTTTTTTCCTGCTAATGATAAAAATTACCTTTTTGCTGAATCCCTTTTTAAACAGGAATTCAGTTTTTAACGTACATGTAAGGAAGGTGCGATGGGGCACAGTTCAGTTTTGGGTCATTTCTTTTTAGCCCTAGAACAGCTCGTTCAAATGAGAATTTTAAGGAAATCGCATCCAGGAAGTAATGGAGGTGCAGTTCTAGCTGGAGCAGGGTTTTGCGGTTCAAGCCGGAAGTACCAGGCATCGCTGGGGAGCATCCTGGAGACCCATAAGGCACCTCCGCGTGCCGCTGGGAAGCTTAATGCTGTTCATGCAGTGGGGGAGAATCAGGCCTTGTGGGTTCCAGTTTCAGTTCTGCCACGAACACCTATAGAAGTCGTTTCTCAGTGTCGTGTCTTGCTTTGTTCCTAGCCATCCTTAAGCTCGTTGGCAGATCTGGGCCTCAGTTTGTCTGTCTCCTGTTAAGTAGATGATCTGGAAGCTGCTGCACTGTTCAGGAGGGTGCAGTCGTCCTCGTGAGACTCACACTTGTTGTTGAAGGCACACTTAATCTGTGGCCGGACACCGTGTAGTAGTGCAGATATGGGACACACGAAGTCCAGTGCTTTCTAATGGGTCCTGGGGGACTTTGTCAGGGAAACCACCGTTTCCCATACGTTAAAGGTGACCTCAGGGCATCTGGGGTTCCAGTGTTAGCTTCCTGTGTGTCTTCATCCTGAACACCCCTCAACTTCCGCCGAGTGGCCCATTGTTGGTTAAGTGTGAGCTCTTCGAGGCCCTCGTGAGGTTTCCACTCTTCTCCCCAGAAGTCGATTGCGGTGACAGAATCCGATTTACGCCCTAGCTGATGGCTTCGGTGTAAGGGGTCTCCCTCTTCCCCTCCCAGGGGCACGGTCGCTCATAAAATCATGCAGAAGTACGGCTTCCGGGAAGGCCAGGGGCTCGGGAAGCACGAGCAAGGGCTGAGCACGGCGTTGTCGGTGGAGAAGACGAGCAAGCGAGGAGGCAAGATCATTGTGGGCGAAGTCACAGAGAAAGGTGGGTGTTCCCCGGGAGCGGGGGGCGTGCAGTCCGGGGAAGACTGGCCCGCCTGCACGCAACGGGGCTTCCGAGGACGACGCAGTCCGGCTGTGCCGTGCCTCATCTTCATTTGTTCAGAACAGAGGTAGAGACAGGAAGGCCCCTGGGACAAAGAGACAAGGAGGGGCGGCCAGAAAATGAACACACAGGACGGACGTTTCATGCCCGCTTCTAGCAGGCAGAGAGCCATGCCACGTCGGTAAGGCCGTAGTCCTGTTGCCACCGCATGACAGCCACATACGGCCTGTCAGTGACTGTGTCCGCCATGTTCCCACCCTCTAAGTGTTCGTACTGGTAGGTGACACATACTTGGTGTCTTATTTTTATTTGATTACTACAGTCCCTTCTGTACCGAGAACGTGCTAGAATAGGTCCAACATGTCTTGCATTTTAAGCAGGAGTCAGCATAGCTGAACTCCCTTTCCTGACAGAAGACTAAGGCTTTTGGCAGCCTGTCAGCACACAGCTTTCAGAAGCAGCCAGGCAGCCTAGAGCCACCCCGATTTGCGGGAGTCTCCGAAGTCAGCCGGTGGCTGGCCCATTAACTGCTCATTACGTTGGGCTAGAGACCTTGGCTGGAGCCAGGACATTCTCCGGTAAGGGTTGTGATTGATGTACTCTGTCAACCCTTTAGGAAGTGGACCAAACAAAAATTGCAGGGAACTGGGGGAGCTAGAAACTCCCAGAGATTACGGTAAAAACCTATAGCGAAGCAAAGCGGAGGCTTCGGTCACAGGCGAGGCTACATGGTCGCTCAGAGGCTGCTTGCCTGGTGCCTGTAACTGACTCTAGGGCATGGGGGTTGCTATTGAAATTAAATGACCATAACTCGGACGCAGCACCAACATGTCTACACTGGTGATTTGTTTTCTACAGATGCATCCAAGAAGTCGGATTCAAATCCACTAACTGAAATACTTAAGTGTCCTACTAAAGTGGTCCTACTAAGGGTAAGAGGCAGAAGGAGGAAATCCGTTCACCCGCCTTGAGTTTCGGTGTCACTCCCCACCAACCACCCCTACACGCTTGCAGGCCCGTGGTAGCATAATGGGCCAAGAAAACGGGAAATGATGCTATTGCAAATGACACTTTCAGATAGACTCTCTATGAGACTGATTTTAGCGTCCTTTTTCATTAATGTTTCTTTGCTGAATATAATATTTAAGATTATAGTGAGTAATTTAAAACATCTGAAATTGTTAGAAGTTTAACTTAGTTTATGCATTTTGATGCTTATATAATTGTTCTTGTAACTATGTACTTCGATGCATGGTTTTATTTTTTTAAGATACAATCGTTCTCGTAACTTTATGAACATCAATGTATAGTTTCGTTTTTTTTAAGAAATGCCAACTTTTAGGTGCTACAGGGATGAAAATTTTCATTGTGTCGTTTGGGATGGAGAACATCTGCTATCGTGAAAGTTATTTATGCATCTCACTTATATATTTGTAAATTATACTTGACACTTGAATTGACTTATTTTTGTTTATAGAACATGGTTGGTGCAGGAGAGGTAGATGAAGACTTGGAGGTTGAAACCAAGGAAGAGTGTGAAAAATATGGCAAAGTTGGAAAATGTGTGATATTCGAAGTAAGAGTGTTTTCTTGTGATGTTTACAACCTGTCAGAATAGATTACAAAACATTTTCTACAAATAGAGCGAGGTGTGCTGCGCTATAAATAACACGCTCCTGCTTTCCTTCTGTGTCCTATCGCTGCTTGTTGACCACATAATTACTTGTTTATGGGTCAGCTGTGTGTTCCCAGCACCTAACACCGTGCTTGTCCTAAACAGGTGTTCGACAGAGTTTTGGGACAAGTTATACTTATTTCCTTGTTTATTTGGCTACTACTTGTTCATATATGACGATAATTGGAACACTTATTCTGACACATCATTTAGGGAGGAAAACTCAGTGACATCTCAGATGATGACTACGTATTTTTCTGCTTTCATTCCCTCCCCAGATCCCTGGTGCCCCTGACGATGAAGCAGTGCGGATATTTTTAGAATTCGAGAGGGTCGAATCAGCAATTAAAGGTAAGTGTGCAGCTAAATATAAAGAACAGAAAAGTTAAATTTGTGATCTTAACTGTTAAAATTAAAACGTGCTGTCTGATGGGAAACCTGCATTAACTGTCTTTGTTTGCCTTTTAGCTGTCGTAGATCTGAATGGGAGGTATTTCGGTGGCCGGGTGGTAAAAGCATGTTTCTACAATTTGGATAAGTTCAGAGTCTTGGATTTGGCGGAACAAGTTTGATTTTAAGAACTGGAGCACGAACCACAAGCTCCAAGCCGAGCAGAGGAGGCGACAGCCAGCTCGCGTGCTGTGTGCGCAGGGACTCAGAAGGGCTGCTGAGATGTGTGTTGATTGGTCCCTTTTTTTTTATTTTGTGTTTTTTTAATATAGCATAAAAATCCTTAAAAAAAAAAATCTGTGTGCCTCTCTGGTTTCTCTTTTATTACCACTTTTGAGATGATTACCATTTTTTGCTAGAATTTCATGATAATTCTCAAGTGCTTCAGTGAGACAGTATTTCTTGCACTAAGAAGTCTAGAAAGTTTTGGAATATAGGATATGCATTAAGCTATTCTTTGCTTTTCTTTCATTTTTTAAAAATTCATTTTAACAAGACCTGCAAGTTACTAAACTGTAGCTTCATAAATTCTATAATGAAGTGTCATCTTGGCAGTCTGCCAAAGGTGAAACGTCTGCTTTCTCTAACAGAGAAGTTCTTGCTGACTCCACTCAGAAAAATCTCTTCACGACCTGAAATCAGGCTGAAGGATTGTGAACCTGCCATGACCTGTTCGGATGAGTCATTTTCGATTAAACTAAGTCAGACTGTAGGGTTTGTGATGGATTGAGGGTAGGGGAATCATGAATCTAGCATTCGTTTGTTTTCAGGGGTTCAAGCATACCCTTAGCGTAGATCAGAAACGACACGTTAACTCAAAACCTCACGGCTGCGTTGTACCTGTGTGCCCGTCCTTCGGAATAGTGGTTCCTTGGGGTCACATTTCTACTGGCAAAATTTACAGTAGTGTTAGTTCTTATACATAGTTTTAAACCATGAAATTCAGCACATCGGTTACTTAAACTGCATTGCCAGTTAATAAAACTCCGGAATTATGGAACATTGTACCATCAGAGAGCAGCGGTACGTGTGGCTTAAAAATTTAGCAGGACCATGAAAAAGGAAACAAATATTCGAGGTTCGTTGCCAGAGCAGGAAGTGTTCTCAGAACATACTTGTGCCTGTGTTCTGTCCCTTGCTTGCCCGAATATTGTATGTGACTTTCCCGAGGCGGTGCCTGTGTTGTCTGTAGGTTGTCACAACCTGGAAATTGTGACTCTTTGAGGGGAGAAAGCGCTCAACGTCACTTTGCGTCCATGGACTTGATTTGGAGACAGGAATATTCTGACCCTTTTTACAAAAGGATTCTCTGTTTTTATTTAACGTAAATAAAACAATAACATTTCCTCTTCTGTGGTACTTTACTGAGTGAGATTGAGTTGAAACTTGGTGTTCGTGATAAAAGTGCACGTGTTCTAGAAAATACGTTTGGGTTAAAGAACGTAAAAGTTACGTAACGGGATGCTCCTTGGGACACGGGAGGTGCCAGCAGCCCCGAAACTCGGATGGGTCTCCCTGGGGCCCTGCTGTGACGCCGCTGGTGCCCAGGCCGTTGGGGCGGCTCCGTGGGATCTGATGGACTCCGATGTTCGTTCGTAGAGCGTGAGCTGCAAACTGCCTTTGACGCCTGCATCGTTACTGCTCTGCTTTATTGTGACGTCATTTATTTAGGTGGCTTTTCCCAACTGTCTCCTGATCAGCAACCAGAGAGATAGATGCAAGTACTTGACGCTTAGATGTTTAGGCTCACGGGCTCTTCGGGACTGCTTGCTTCTCCGTCGCCGATCACTTTTAATGATCCGTGACTGCTTTAATCATCTAGCGCATTACTCGCGATGAATTTCTGATAATGGAATAATCTCTAAATCTGCAAGATGGTGCTTGAGAAATGTGAAATTAATTTTTTTATATTAACCAAAATTCAAATGAACTTCAATGTGAAAATTTCAATATAAATTAAAAGTTACTGAAGCTACAACATAACCAGGAAGGTCCAGACTGATGGACGCTGGGCACTCGGCCACCTGTGAGCTGCTGGATGCCCTTGGTGCCTGTGAGTTCCCAGCATCAAATTCAGCGCCTCCCTGAGGTAGAGACTGGAAACTCGAGTCCCAGCCTGTGTCACAGCTAAGGCGGGGAAGGGTGAGCGCCCTGGCCCTCTGCGTGGAGCAGAGCTTGTCCGGGAGCGCCCTCACTCTGGAGGGTGGGCACACTTGTCTCGCCTTTGGGGCGGCGTTGGCAGAGACCTCACTACCCCATAGTGGCACGTGCTGTGGGGCTGCTTGTGTGGCAGGGCAGTCTGAAGCAGTTTCTTAGGTGGGATTCAGGAGTTTTCTTGCTTCATATAAAACCTCAAAGTGTGACGGGCTTGTCAGAAGGTTCCGTTTGCTATTTTTTTGTTATTTGGTTTTGGGGGATTTTTTTGTACTTCACTCTTTTTAAACAAGCCAGAGTGACTTCTCTCATGTGCAACTAAGAACAACTAATTGATTATAAACAAGTTGATTTCTGGAATTGCAAATGACAAATGCTGAAAGAGGGAGAAGGTAGGATGGGAGGACCCCCTGTCCTTGGTTGGTGACACTAGTTCAGACATCTCGCCAAGCCGTTGCCATACTTCAGGGCACGGACCAGACTGGTGTGACGGGGAATGACAGGGACCGCAGGTCCTGGCGTGTGTCCACTCACTCCGCAGGCCACCGTAGTGCTAGGCTGCTCCTGCATATTGCTCCGTGACCGGGTGCCTTGACTGAAAACAGAAAGGCTAACTATGCCTACCCCTTAGGAATATTAGGATTAAACACATCCTAATATTGGGTGTGGAGGCTGTGAAGTCCTGCAAACGCGCGATGACGTCAGGGTAAAGGAGACCAGTTTGAAGCAGGGAAGAAGCTGTGTCCTTGCTGAGAGGAGCTGTCTGCAGCCCGGAGTCTCAGTTGGCCGGGAGTTACAAGACAGAGCCCGCTGGTTTGGGGAAACCCCACGACTGAGACATCCGAGGGGCCCAGCTTTCTCAGGAGCTTAGATCGGAGGTTGTGGCCTTGCAAAAATGGAATTACAGATGCCGCTTTCCCACATCAAATGATGGCTTTGAGTTGCCCCAAGACCATAGTCACTGAGGGAGGGAGAAAGGGCTGGACAGAGCCCCAGAGCCCACTGCGGGAAGCCGAAGCGCCCTGTGCACAGGCCACAGGCGCGGTCCCCGCAGCCCGTGGCTCAGTCCGTGAGCTTCGCCGATTCTCCCGCTTTCCTGTCAGGCCCCGCGTTCCGGGTGGACAGCGGGCCTTTTAGCTGTGGCTCTGTGCCACGTGGGACCACGTGTGGGCCCGATCGAGAAAACCGCGTGTCACCGGGACCGGACTGAGCAGCTGGAAGAGACGTGAGGCATTTCCTTAGGGCGGGTGGGTGCCCGAAGGTGCACGCGATGGGGGAGCAGTGAGCGCGGGGCGGGGGGCGAAGGGCCCGACGGCCGACACTGCGCCCCAGCGCCCGTTCCCTGACGCCTCCTTTCTGCCCCATGCCCCTGTTCTAAGGGCTGCGAAGATTAAATTCTTCCGTGGAGCTGGAAGTGGCCATGTGACATTTCTGGCCAATGAGCTCTTAAGTGGCGACGTAGTTGACGTTTCCTGGGCAGTCTTAGAAATGCTTTTACTTCCCCAGTTAAGCCAAGAGCCATTTAGTGAACTTCAGGCGATTCGACGACACTGTCCCCCACCCCAACCCTCAGCAAGGGCATATGTGTGCAATGCATTAGATTTATTTGTCGCATTCTTCATGTCATCCTGGGGTCCCCAAACCTCCTAAATGAGGTTTTAAAAATGTACATACGTTAAGGTTTACTCTTTGAGCTGTAAAGTTTTATGGCTTTGAGTAAGACTTTAATGTTGCATTCACCATTACTGTATCACGCAGAATGGTTTCACTGCCCCGAAGAGCACCCCCACGCTGTCCCCAGTCAGGCGCCCCCCCGCCCCCAACGCCTGGCAGCTCCTGCTCTGTCCGCTTCTCCGTCGTTTGGCCTTCTCCAGAATGTCGGACTTGGACTTAACGCCGCCCGCGGCCTTTGCAGACTGGCTCCCGTCACTTAGCGCTGCGTATTTCAGGGTCGCCCGTACCTTTTTGTGGCTCGGTAGCTCGATCTTTATCGGTGACTGTTATTCCACTGTCCGGGTGCACCGGTCTGTCCCTTCCTCCGCCGAAGGGCGCCGCGCCCCCTTCCAGCGTGCGGTGACTGAATGTGGCTGCTGCAAACATTCGTGGGCAGGACTTTTGTGGACGTCGGTTTGGACATCAGTGGAGTAAACAGTGCGATTGCTGGATTGCATGGTAGGACTTGGGTTTTCCTTTGCCCACATTTTTAACTCTCCCTGTCCTGGCTCTTTGAAGCACATAAACATTCTCAAATCTCCATCTTTAGGAAAAAAAGTCAAACCCTTGAACTTTGTGACATCTCTTTACTCCCCGGTGCCCTACTGTTTTTTCTTTTCAAAACCAGGCTTCTCAAAGAATCAGTCTACTGCCACCTCCTTGCTCGTCACCCCGACACTGCACCCCACACGTAAGGAATGGGGCTGAGACTGACTGCAAGCTAGCCCTGCAAGGCACCCCACCAGGCCCCCCGTTGCTCCTGCGGAGCTCTGTGCCCCGGCCCCCACCATCTATTCACTTCTCTCTCTCGGCCTTTTGTGGCGCTGGCCACTGTTGGCCACTCCCTTCGCGAGGCCTGTGGCCACGCTTCCTGTCGGGTTCCCTGTGCTGCTCAGCCCTCCCCCTCTTCCAGGTGAGTCCTCCTGCCCTCCCAGCCGTCAGTGTCCACTGTGACTAACATGTGGCTTCGTCTCAGCCAGGCCTCATCACAGAACTTCGGATCTGCATGCGACGGCCTGTCAGGCGTCCCCACCCACCTCACACGTGCGCCCCAAACTGTTCACTCTGCCCTTTCCAAACCTGCTGAGCTCTCTAATCGGAAATGACCACCTGCATCAGACACCTCAGAGTCACCTGGGGTCCCCGCTTTCCCCTCTCGCCCGGCCCAACCCGATGGGGCCTGCACATTCTGTCCTCCCCGCCTGTCACACCAGCCCCGAGCCCCTGGCCTCAGACCCTCCTCATCTCTTGCCTGGAGCGGACTGTGCGCCCGCCTAGTCCCCGTGATCTCATCAGGCACCCCTCAAATCTGCCGACTCGCTCGCTCCCATCGAAAAGGATCTTCCTGCCGTTCCGAACGTTCTGAGCTAGCGGGCCGGGCGGCTGTCCCCAGCCCTGTGCGCGTGCCCACCCCTCCACGCCTGCGCCTTCGTTCCAGCTGTGGGAACGCCGGCCGGTCCCCGGTGTGTGCTCACGTTCTTGCCTCTGCCTGGAGGACAGACCCTCCCCCCGTTCTCCCGGCAGCCACTCTGCACCCAGCGACTTGGTCCTCCTGCAGGGCGGGCCGCAGCTCGAGCCCGCCCCCCACCGCTGGGAAGCGGCAGTGCCCACCCCGCCCTGCTCCCCTCGCCAGGGGACAGGGAGAAGTCGTTCCCAGAGTCCAGCATCTGTGCAGAAGGCCGAGAAAACCCAGTTTGTTCGGGAGCCGGAAGCGGGGGCGCTCAGAAAGTTGTGCCCTCGGGGCAGCGGGAATGGGTGTGTCACATACTCTGACTCAGTCCCAGGGGACAAAGTGGCACAATGAAAACCAAGGCGTAGACGGCCGGGCTGAGAATGATGTCCAGTGTCCTAATAGCATAAGTACTAATTTGTTTTTGGATGTTGCTTTATGACTAACTAGAAAGAATGAGTAGAGGGGGTAGGAGGGGGTTCGAAGGCGAAACTCTTCCATGTTCTAGGAAGGTCAGTGGATTATTAAAATTCTCTTTGCCTCTCCTGTGTTGGATCCTCTGTGCTGGATCCCATGTCTTCATTTTCTTGACTTTTCCTCTATTTTTGGTGGCACTTGTCCTCTAGGAGTTTCCTAAGAGACACGGGAGATGCATTTCTTGAGACCTCGCATCTGAGAATGTCTTAACTCTGTCATCGTACTTAATTGGTCATTTGACTAAATATGGAGCTCTCGCTTAAAACCCAGTGCTGCATCGTCTTCCTCCTGCATTGCTGTTGAGAAAACCAATGTCATCCTGTATGATCTGTTCTCTCTGGGAGGTTTTGAAGCTGCTGTTCCCGGGTTTCATGATTAGATGTCTTGGTCAGCATCCTTTCGTTCACGATGCCGGGCACTGGGGATGGACTCTTTCAATCTGGAAATGCGTGTCCTTTGAATTCATAGCCCGGAAATTTTCATGTAATATTTCTTGAATAATTTCCTCTCCTTCATTTTATCTTTCTTCAGTCGTATCCCTTTCTGGAGCTTGGATCGGTCATTT